CCTCGGCTCCTTATGGTGAGTATTGGAGGCAGATGAAAAGTATATGCGTCTTAAATCTCCTTAGCAACACAAGGGTTCGTTCTTTTCGTGCCGTAAGAGAAGAGGAAATTAAATCCATGATCGACAATATTACTAAGCATTGCTCCTCATCCCCCTCCTCAGTATCATCAGCGTTTAATTTAAGTGAAATGCTCGAGACGCTTACGAATGATGTTATCTGTAGAGTGGCTCTTGGGAGGAAGTACAGCGATGGCGGGGAACGTGGGAGGACATTTAAGAATCTTGCCGGGGAGCTGATGTTGGTGATGTCGCATATCCATATTGGAGACTATATCCCATGGCTTGCCTGGATCACCCGTCTCAATGGTTTGGACGCCAAGTTTGACGATCTGGCTAAACGGTTCGATGAGTTTTTAGAAATAGTTGTTCAAGAGCATATGGATGAATTTCATGGTCTTTCCAAGAATCTTGTGGACCAAAAGGATCTTGTGGACGTTCTGCTTTGCCTTCAGGCTGATTCTCCTATTGACAGAGTTAGCATCAAGGCTATCATCTTGGTAATTAACTCTCTCTCTCTCTCTCTCTCTCTCTCTCTCTCTCTGTTACATGCATAGTGGTGTTGGATTGTCTTATCTTTTTCACCATAGTAATGCTAGAATTACTCAGTTTGTTCAAAGAATGATGTTGCATTATGCTTGTTATGTGATCATATCTAAAGAAATAAATAAGTTTAACCAAAATTGAACCATATCTGAAATTTTTTATTGTCAAACTTGTGCTAGCCAGCCAAGAAACACAAAGAAAAAGATGAGTTGTTTGACAAGAGGCTAGTAATATTAAAAAGAAAATATTTTGTAAAAAACTAATATAAGTCAAACATTTTGGACTAACTTGGTATTTTTTAGGCGTACCGAAAATCTCAATTTGCCCCTACAGTTTCAACTGAGTCAATGTGCCCCCTGTGCTTTCATTTAGTGTCCGACGTTCCCTCATTCTATCAATTTCTTTGGTAACACCGTTAACTTGTTGACGTGACATGGGTATTTTAGTAATTTTAGCTATTTAAAAATTCAACTTATATTAGATTGTGGTGTTCTAATATTTCTTTGAAGAGCAGACATGGGCTTAGCCAATTTCGCTAGAGCGGATGTCCTCCCACTCTGCACCCAAGTTCAAATCCCCCTCCCCGTAATTTAGAGTAGAACATCGCTTGTATAAAAATAAAAATAAATTCTTTGAAGCATGAGTATTTTCAGGGTTTTTGAATGTTTCACTTTTAAAGCCTTCTACCTTTTTTTTTTTTGGTCAAGGAAGCCTTCTACCTTTATATATATATATATAACACGTGGGTTATTCCTAACCCCAATTCTTTGGGTTTTATATACAATTTTCCATTAATTTTTAATTGATTTTGTCTGTTAAAATTCTTGTAGGATATTTTTGTCGGTGGCACTGATACCTCATTTACACTCCTAGAGTGGACAATGTCCGAGCTTTTAAGGCATCCAAGAGTCATGGAAAAATTGCAGAATGAGGTGAGGGGGATAGTAGGCAAGAAAACAGACATAATTAGAGAGGATGATTTGGTTGGAATGCACTACATGAAGGCTGTGATCAAGGAGACTCTTCGCCTACATCCTTCAGTTCCATTGCTATTGCCCAGGCTATCGACCCAAGATGCACAAATAAATGGCTACAACATTAAAGCCAACACACAAGTTATAGTGAATGCATGGCAAATTGGAAGAGATCCCAAGTCATACAACAAGCCAGAGGAGTTCGAGCCAGAAAGGTTCTTGGACAGTGCCATAGATTATAAAGGCAATTACTTCCACTACATTCCATTTGGGGCTGGGAGAAGAGGTTGCCCAGGAATTCAGTTTACCATGGCTGTCCAAGAGATTGCATTGGCAAATTTAGTGCACAAGTTCAACTGGGCGCTGCCCGATGGCACAAGAGGGGAGGACTTAGACATGATTGAATCTACTGGAGCAAGCGTTCGCAGAGTATATCCTCTTAAAGTTGT